TTAGTTCCCAGCACCCACTTGGTTGGCTCATATAACCACATATAACTCCAATTCTAAGGGACCCAACGCCCTCTTCTGCCTCAGCTGCCACCTGCACCATGTGGTGACATACACACACTGAAGCGCCTGCACCGTGTGTACATACACACACTGAAGCACCTGCACCACGTGTACATACACACACTGAAGCACCTGCACCATGTGTACATACACACACTGAAGCACCTGCACCACGTGTACATACACACACTGAAGCACCTGCACCTAAGTGGGTTTGGGACCCAAACTCTTATCCTCTTCAAGAGCAGTACATGCTGTTCACCACTGAGTCATCTCTGTAGCCCATGGCTTTTCTTTTGAGCTTCATACATTGTAGAAACATGTTCTCTTTCAGGTCTGGCTTCTTTTACTTGATACAGTGTTGTGTACATTGACTGACGACCTTCTTAACTTTTAGGACGCCATTGGTCTGACCATTCTGACTACGTAGTGGGGGCAGATCACATCTTCATTGATTTCTTAGAGGTCTCATAGGAATTGTTATGCAGTAGTAGGTGGCCTTAAACAACATAATTTATTTTCTAGAGGCTGGAAAACCAAGGTCCTGGCAGGGCCACATTGTCTCTAAAAATGCTAGGGAAGATCCCTTTGCCTCAGCTGCTGGTGGCTCTTGGTATTTCTTGGTGTGTGGCAGCATTTCCAGGCTTGGCTCTTGTCCCTGTAGTGCCTGCCTCCTTTCCTCCTGCTGCCTGCCTGCTCTCTCACACAGCACAGTGGATGTCATTCATAGTTTGTCTTATCTTGTCTCTTGGTGTGTACTTGTTCTTTCTAGGGCCTATCTCACATTAGATACAAGACTGGAGACCACAAGGAACACTGGTTTCACTATTTCCCCACCAGCGATGTAGCACAGCCTCTGTCAGGAAGCACAGGTATTCATATATATTGTAGCCTACGGATAAGGGAAGAGTGAATTCTGCTTTGTTTCCTGACTCAAATTGAAAATTTGAAAAAGCTTTTGATTTAGGCTATTTGACCAAACATTGGTCAAATAATTGTGGATTTCACCTAGACTATGAAAGTCTATTACTGTAAAGTAGACATAATTGCTTTAGATGACATTTCAGGGTTTTGTATCCAAATAAAAATGATGAGATATAATGCAGTAGCCATCCAGCGGGCGTGGCCTAGAAGTTCTACCTTACTTGGCAGGTTTTTTTTTTTTTTTTTTTTTTTTTTTTTTTTTTTTTCTTTGGGGGGGTGTGGTGCTATTAGCATGACTCAATTTACACACTGAGAGTTTTGGAGACACTTAACTTTCCAGGGCAACTGAATATGGATTTTAAAAATAAAGCTATCTGGGAAGTGTAGAAAATGAGTTGACTTTAGCAAGATAAAGTGTTAAAATGGCCAGTGTAGTCTTATGCTTCTCTTCTGACAGCTAGCCTTATAGTAGTATAGAGCAGGTGACCCAGTGGTGCATATGGGACAGTTCTGGGGACCAGGTGACTGAAGGTATCTGAAGCCTGTAGTGTGAGATTGTTGCCAGAGGACATAAACTGTCTTAGGAACTCCCTGTTGAGGACCGGAGGCCTCTAGTCATATTTCCTTCCCTTTCAGTGCCACTTTAGTATCCTTTTGGATACTGTGTTGGATTAACAGCAAATTGGACTATCTATAGTGGGGTCCTAAGTCTCCTAGCACCTACTTTTGTGACTAAAGCTTTATTAGAACAAGGCCATGCTTTTTTGCTTATGTATTTTGAGTTACGGCTTTTCTCTTTGGCAGTATTGCATATTTGTTGCAGAGACCATTATTCTCCAAAGTCTAAAGTGTTTATTACTTAATAGACCTTTAACTAAAGCCCTCTAACTCTTGGTCTAGTGAACTACACTTAGGAAGCAAACAAGACTGAAGATGTTCAAAGAAGGGCCACACAAGATTCATGTGTGGGAACAGACAAAGGGTTAAGTTGCTGTGACAGGGAAAGGTATTGCCAGCTACTTAAAGGCCTCTTATCTAGGCTCTCCTCTGCTTAACTTTGTAGAACAAATTGAAACACAGGATTGAGATACTGGGGTTGAGGATTCAGTAGTGTATGGAAAAGCTGTCTTCTTTCCGGAAGGGGTGAATTTTTCCAGAAGGTGGTTTGTCCTTGGTAACCAGAAGCACTTTAAGAGCCAGGTACTTGAGACTGCTCAGCTACAGACATGCCCTGTAGACTGTGCAGCCAGAGTAAGCCATACTAGCGTCACCTGGATGGATTGCTAGTTTCACATTCTCTGGGGTGTACCAAAACATCCCAGTGCAAAGTCAAAGTGTATTTAAGAAACATGAACAAACACCTATGTCCAGTTTAGTTACCACCTTTAATAGTCTGTATTGGTTTTCCCCTCATGGTGAAGTATTGTCATTCCTCCTCCTCTTGACTCATGGCACTGTTACAGTTTGTTTAAATGGTATGTGGCCTTAAGAAGCATGGGTGTAGGTGGAGAGCACCAAGTGTTGTTTAGGGCTGTTATTTGCTGCTTGGAATCATACACTGATCTTGCTATTGTGCTCACTGACTACTATTGAATGTCAAATTAGAATCCTAGAGGGTAAAATGGCCCTTTTGTATTTATTTTATATTATTCTTAACCTATTCTGGAGTAGAGGGTTAAATTGTCAGTCCATAAAAAGAGGTTTTTCACACTGAAATATCATCCATTAAAGATTTTCTTTTGGGCCGGCAGTGGTGGCACATGCCTTAACCCCAGCACTCAGGAGGCAGGGTCAGGTGGATCTCTGTGTTTGAGGCCAGTATGGTCTACAGAGTGAGACCCAGGACAACCAGGGCTACACAGAGAAACCCTGTTTCAAAAAAAACAAAACCAAAAACCTTTCTTTTGGATCTAATTCAAAATTATGGAGAGTTAATGAAGGAGGCTCTTTGAATAAATGGAGTTTTGGACATTCCACCCATCAGATACTCATTGTGCCTTAAACTGTTCCTTCTCACTTGAACTTCTTCCAGCAGATGGGCCTGAAATGGGTGCTTTTCCAGTTTTTCTGGCCTCCTGCCTCCATCACATGGTCTGGGTACACTTTGTTAAGTGGAGGCCAGGACACTCCCATTGAGTGAGTCATCTGTGCTATAATAATGTTCCAGATCTGGAGGCTTCAAGTGAGCTGTAGATGCAGGTGTCTTCTTTCTGTGGAGCTTCCCATGTGGTAAAAGCCTCATACAGCGTAGTTTGCTAAAAGTCACAGTAGGACTACTTCAGTAGGCCTGTGAGAGTCTGGAGATCACACCAGCATATGACTCTGGCTAATACAAGCAAGCCATATCTCCATCATCTTTTTCTTCTTACTAGGTCAGGCTTTCTCTGTGGCTTTGGAGGCTGTCCTGAAACTAGCTCTTGTAGACCAGGCTGGTCTTGAACTCACAGAGATCTGCCTGCCTCTGCCTCTACCTGGCTTCATGTCAGGTATTTTATTCCATTTTGGTTATAATGGGCTAGAGAAGTGGAAGAACGTCGAGTAGATATTTGAGTTACTGATTGAATCTGTACTAACCATAGTTAATCATTTTCAGTTTCTGTTTTGTTCATATTTAGTACTTGAGGCATTGAAAATAGTGGCTGACCAGGTTGTAATGGCGCACACCTTTAATCCCAGCACTCAAGAGGCAGAGGCAGGAGAATCTCCATGAGTTTGAGGCACGTGTGCATGTGCTTGACATGGCCCGTGTGGAGGTGGAGGACAGTTTCTATGAACTGGTTCTCTCCTTCCAGCATGTGGCCCTGTGGACAAACTGCAAATGTTCTTGCCTGCTGAGCTGCCTTGTTGGTGTTTGGCGTTCTTTTGAGGCAGGGTCTCACGGTGCAGCCCAGGCGGACCTACTTCAGCATCAGTAATGGGATTCAAGTTGGCATCCCTCTGTCTGGTTCTTTTTGAATTCATATCTCTCTCTTCTTCCCTCTACTTAGTAGAGGATGAGAGAGAGAGAGAGAGAGAGAGAGAGAGAGAGAGAGAGAGAAGTTATTAGTATAACTTGTACATGTTTACATAAAATTTATCTGCTAAAATTTCTTTGCAAGTCTCCCTCACCCCCCATTCTTACTAAATGTTTCAGTTGGTAATTAGGGTGTAATATAACTCAATTACCACACAGCCCTAATGTTTGTGTTTGCTCCAGTCATTTACATAGTCTGCTTTTTTACTGGGAGGGTTGTCGTTCCTTTGGTGCTCAGCTCCTATAATAATAATAATAATAATAATAATAATAATAATAATAATAATAATTAATTCTTACATTGCATATACTATGTACTATTCTAGATGTCTTGCATGTATTATTAACTTACCAAATCCTTGTGACAGCCCTCTGAGATAAGGGCTATCACATTCAGTTCACAGGTGAGTAAGACAGAAAGGTCACTCAGTTGTGTGTGTGAGAGAGAGAACAACTAGACACTTGTAGGTTAAGAGGGCTGAAGGAGCTTGAGAACATTCCTGGTCTGTTTAATGCGCACAGTATACATATTTCGAAGCCTGTGTAATACTGTAACAACTGAAAGTGTGTATACATACCCTTTTCTTGTTCCCTCAGTGCTGGTGCCCAAACTCAGTGCTCTACCCCTCAGCTCTATCCCTGGTCCACGGTGTGAATGTCTTTATTGAAACACCACAACATTATAAAGTTGACTGAGGGGGGACAGATGAGTTAGTGATGATTCTGGCCATTTGGACTTGGTGTTTGTGAGTGACAGAACCACTTCAGGGTTAATGCCATGCTTTAGGCTGATCTGTTTACTTCCTCTGTGACCCTTCCCTCTTGCCATAAAGTAATACCTGACTGCTTAACAGTTTTGCCCTGTTTATATTGCTACTCTAGTTTTGTTATCCAGAGGGGGATTTCATACAAATAGATGTGCTCTCCAGGGTTATTTTGCACTGTTGTTACTATAGTTTTTAGTAACTAAGGGTTAACTCTGATATGTTTCATTTCTTAACAGTACAGTGCTTTGGATACCAACCCGCTCTCTCTGTATATCATGCATCCATTTTGGAACACTATAGTGAAGGTAAGATTATTAATGGCATTCATTTTTGTTTAAACAAGTTTTGAGTATTTTAACTCATCTTAGAGTCTTATTGCTGCAACTCTTAGATTATTCTTTGAAGTTCTAGTTATTGAACCTAAGGCCTCAAACATGCTGTCACAGTGGTCCACACAGAACTGTATCCTCAGATTTTTACTTCTTGAAAAATTTGTTTTTAGATTTATTTATTATTTTATGTGTGTGGGTGCTTTGCCTACATGTACATGCCTAGTGTGCTTGGAGGTAAGAAGAAGGGCATCAGATGCCCTGGAACTGGAGTTAGTGATGGTTGTGAGCCACCACGGGGGCGCTGGGAATTGAACTCAGGTCCTCTGGAAGAGTAAGTGCTCTTAACCACTAAGCCACTCTCCAGCAGTTTTTATTTTTAAAATGGGGACTCACTGAGTTGCTTTGGACTTGGAATCCTCCTGCCTCACTGTCCTGATTAGCTGAGATTACAGGCTGTGTTTACAGGCCCAGCCAGCAGTGTTCTTAGTAAACTGTAGTAGAGGTGCCTCGCTCTCACCCCTTCCCAGTGAACTCTCCCTGTTAGAATCTAAATATATACACTGTGATTGATCATTTTTATAAAGGCCTTTGAAACCTTCTAAAGTTAACTGAATGCTATCATTATAAAAGTTTGTGTATTAAAGAATCATTTAAACTTAAGGGACAGGAAGAAGAAAGAAATGCCCATCTACCAACTGGAGTTATTGTTTGTAGTTTAATATACAGAACAACTGCATATGATCTTTCAGACTGGTAACTTTTATGACCTAATTTTGTATGTTGTGATAGTTATTGAACAGAGCTTTCTTTACTTATTTACAACTATTTTGAAAAAAAAAAAAAAACCCACAGGTATTTCCTACTTGGCTGGCTCCCAATCTTATAACTTTTTCTGGATTTCTGCTGGTTGTATTCAATTTCCTACTTCTGACATACTTCGATCCTGACTTTTATGCTTCAGGTAAGAATTTTATTATCTTAATACATAATTTTAAATGTCTTGAGTAGCAAAATATAAGGTGGTTAGTTAATTTCTGAATCTAAGATGCTTATGTCTCTGAAAGTTTTGGGTATTAGAATGTTATATAAGATGTGGGGATTGTATATAAAATGAAGTTATGTTTTTAAAATATTATCTACATTTCCATTAAGTTTTAGAAATATAATAGTCCTGGGCAGTGGTGGCGCACACCTTTAATCCTAGTACTTGGAAGGCAGAGGCAGGTGATCTCTGAATTTGAGGCCAGCCTGGTCTACATAGTGAGTTTCAGAACAGCCAGGGATACATATATATAGAAACCCTGTCTCAAAAAACAAAAAACAACAAATAATTTAAAGAAAAATAATATAATAATAACTTGCCTATTAAATTTAGATATACCTTCTAAAAAGCAGCAAGGCTTTGGCAAATAGTGAATAATTAAAAGTGGGTGTTATGATGCATGCTTGTAGTACCAGCATTTTGCATATGTGGGGCAAGAGAGTCAGGATTTTGGGGCCAGCCTTATCAGGTAGCATAAGTTCACAAACATTTAAAAAAAAAAAAAAAGATTTACATGTAGGCAGAAGTTTAGGGTTGTGAAAAATGGCCCTTACTAGGCTTTTGTTGTGTTTTTTTTTTTTTTTTTTTTTTTTTTTTTTTTTTTTTGGTAGGGATTCTCAGGGCCTTACACATGCTAGGCACTAAGTTATAAGCCCAGCTGATTTTTTTTTTTCAGATTTTATTTGAGGTAGCATCTTATTAAATTGCCTGAGCTGGCTTCCAACTTTCAATCCTTCTACCTTCGCCTCTTGAATAGCTGTAACTACAGGCCTGAGTCTTACAGCTGGCCTTTTCTAAAATTATTTTTTTCTTTGGTTTATCAAGACAGTTTCTCTGTGTAAAAATACTGGCTGTCCTGGAACTCACTTCACTTTGTAGATCAGGCTGGCCTCAAATTCACAGAGACGCCTTCCTCTGCCTCCCAAATGCTGGGATAAAAGGCGTGCGCTGCCACCACCCGGCTTCTAAAAATATTTTTGACACTGGTCTTGAGCATAGCTTATTAAAACTGTGAGTTGGGACCTACTAACTTTTAATATTTTAGTTCTGCATTCAGAATACATTGTGAAGTAACTTCTCATTAACAAGCAGCAACATTTCTCACTGGCAGCAAGTGGGGTGGTGAGAGCTGTAATAGACTGTAAAAATCTTGGTTGCTTCCTTTACAGCACCAGGTCACAAGCATGTACCTGACTGGGTTTGGATTGTCGTGGGCATCCTCAACTTTGTCGCCTACACTCTAGGTAAGAGATTGGCAATGCTCATTTAGTCACTGGCTGGCAGGTGTACCAGCAAGACTAGGCACTCATTACATTAACATTTTCTTCTATGCTTAACTCATTTTCACTAAGGCCTGGTAGTGTCTTGTTCAAATTGATCATTTATATTTTTGAATCTATGACTAGCAATGTCACTTAATGCTAGGGATCCAGAATAAAGTAGGAATTGGCAGGTGACTGCTTGCAAGTCAAACCTGGAGAACTGTCTGTTTTTTGAAGTAAGGTTTTTATTGCTTTTTTTTTGTTGTTGTGTGTTTTATTTTTGTTGTTTAAGAACTTTTTAGGAGTTCTTTAGTAATTTCCTACATTTATATTATATAATTAGATTGTATCACCCCCTCAACTTTTTTGGAGCCCCTTCCACATCTCTTCCCAACTTTATGTCCTCTTTTCTTTTTTAACCTACTGAGTCCACTTAGAGCTGCTTTGTGTGCGTGGGTGTGGTTAGAGCCGTCCATTGGCATGAGCAGCCTACCACACCTCTGAAGAAACGGATTCTCCCTTGGCATAGCTTTGCTGGAGCACAGTGGTGCATATTTCTTTACGTGATGTCTGTGGTTGCCTTCCTGCAATAAAGATCCATTGAGAAGCTACAGCAAAGTCTCACAAAGGGTATGCTCCACGAAGCATCAAGTATCCATTATTTGGCCTTTACTGTCACAAGGTTTGCCAGCTCTTGAAGTAAGACAGTTTTGCTTTAAGTTTGGCAAGAAATCCTGACATAGATATTAAGACTGAGTATTCTTGTTTACTATTGCATCCTAAGTTTCTAGAACATGGCCTAGCACACAGGTCAACATTTGGTTTTCAAATATATGTAAAATAGCAGACCTGAAGTTCAAGTTGTTTTAAGTCTTTTCAAATAAAAATTGTTCTCACAGAACTAGTGTAATGTGGTACGTTAGTGCTGACATAGTGGGTGGCAAGAGCTGTCAGAGTAAAGAGACCAGTGAGGTCTCTAAGAGCCAGGGAAAGCTTGGCTAAAGGTTACATATTTGGATAGAGGCTTTATACACTTGTTAGAGGAGGGGAGCAGGTTTTAAAATGTTGCTAGTGGAGTTTGTTGCCAAGGGCTGCCTTGAGGACTAGGGAAAGATGAGGCGACCAGTGAGGTCTTGCTATCCACAGAATTTCATACAAGCCTTATAAGGCTCCATGTTCCATCTGTTTTGGGTCCACAGTTTCTGCAAAGATCCTGACTTGACACAAGCAATTTGTTGCAGAACTAGTTGTGAAATAACATGAGGCAGTTTATAATCTTTATTAAGTGTGACTGTGGGAGTGTTACAGAAATTATTTGGCTTGGTTTTGTTAGGGTTGAGCATGTCTTTCTTTTTTTTTTAAGATTTTATTTATTTATTATGTATACAACATTCTGCTTCCATGTATATCTGCAAACCAGGAGAGGGCACCAGATCTTATTATAGATGGTTGTGAGCCACCATGTGGTTGCTGGGAATTGAATTCAGGACCTCTGGAAGAGCAGTCAGTGCTCTTAACCTCTGAGCCATCTCTCCATCCTGAGCATGTCTTTTATAATAATGGAATATCCTATAAATCATTACCATTCTGAGGAAGAAATTACATTCTGAAACATACTCAGATCCAATGTAGGGAGTTTGAGTGAAACTGAAAAAATGCACAGAATCTTAGTATGTATTTGTGTATCTGATGCTTTAACCATATGATTTGCACAGAAATTAGAAAATTGCTAAGCCAATGAATAAGAGAATGGGTTTTTTGTTTGTTTGTTTTAGATATTTCAGTTACATAGAAACAGAAAAGAATCCCAACCGGGTGTACCCCACACTCCTGCCCTGCTTGGTCTCCTACTTTCCTCTTTGTAGTACACCGCTGCCTTCCTGGTACCCAGGCTGGGAACTTGTGTGGCTGTCTTCTTGGTCTTGCACGTCATCTCTACATATTCTCTCACTTTTACTTGCTTGGTTTTCTTTGAGTTTCACTTGTGGCTCAGCCTGGTCTTCACCCTGACCCTCCTTCCTCTGTTGCCTGAGTGGGAGTCTGCACTGGCATTCCCAGTGCCGGCCTGTCTTTGTTACTGTTTCAGCAGCTTTTCATTGCCCATGCTCCATCTCTGTCTAGGCTAACTGGAGAAGGTCTGTCTGCAGCCTGTCAATCACACTGTTTCAGCACACATGGTTTTTCCTCTTGTTTCATGGTTTCTTATTCTTTCATACATCTCTTAATAGCTAGTCCCTAAAATGTTTGAAGTGACTCAAATCTCTTGTTAGACATTTTTGTTTTGTTTGTTTTTGGTTTTTCAAGACAGGATTTCTCTTGTGTAGCTTTGGAGGCTGTCCTGGAACTACCTCTTGTAAACCAGGCTGGTCTCGAACTCACAGAGATCTTCCTGCCTCTGCCTCCCAAGTGCTGCATCTAAAGGTGTGCACCACCACCACCCGGCTTGTTTTGTTTGTTTTTTAATGTATGAATGTTTTACCTGCATGTATATATGTGCACCATGTGCATATCAAGTGTCCGAGGAGACCAGATGAAGGCATCAAATCTAGAACAGAGTTAAGGATGGTCATGAACTTCTGTGTGAATGCTAGAGACCGAATCTGGGTCCTCTGCAAGAGTGGCAAATGCTAAACCATTTCTCCAGCCCTTCTTTACTGCTTTCCCGTACATCAGATGATACTGCTTGCATTTTCTGAGCGTGAACTGTGGTCTTTGACACCTTGGGCTTCTGAATGTGCACTGTGGTTTTCCATCAGCATATGTTGCTGGTAGCACTTTTCTCCTCTCTCTCTCTCTCTCTCTCTCTCTCTCTCTCTCTCTCTCTCTCTCTCTTTTTTGTTTGTTTTTTCGACACAGGGTTTCTCTGTGTAGCTTTGGAGCCTATCCTGGCACTCACTCTGGAGACCAGGCTGGCCTCGAACTCACAGAGATCCACCTGCCTCTGCCTCCCGAGTGCTGGGATTAAAGGCATGCACCACCAACGCCCGGCCACTTTTCTCTTCTTGAAATGGCATATTCCTGTATCTCTTACCTGCTGAAATCCAACTCAGTCTTTGTGTCCCCACTCACATTTCATCCTGTTCTAAAGGCCAGCCTAGATCATCTGAAGGGAACCCTTGCCTTTTTTTGGCCCCTTTCCTGGTTTGTGACACACTGTGCCTTTAATGATTGTGTTCTGTCCCTTTCTCAGTTATAAACACTCTAAGGGCAAACTCAATTGTAAGGTTCTTGTATTATTTATTTATTTATTTATTTATTTTAATTTTACATATTTGGGATGTTTTGCCTGTGTATATGTCTGTATACCATGTGTATGCCTGGTGCCTGCAGAGACCAGAAGAGGCTGTCAGATCCCCTAGAACTAAAATTACAGACAGTTGTGAGTCACCACATTGGTGCTGGGAATCAAACCCGAGTCCTCTGGAAGAGCAACCAGTGTTCCTAACTGCTAAGCGGTCTCTCTTGCCCCTTGTTGTCATTTTTATAGCACCAAGGATAGTGAGTATATTGTACAAATTCAACAGATTCAGTCATAATATTTATTGATCACCTTACTGTATGCATATTCTGAAAGCACTTAAAAGGAGGGAAAGAGCAGAGCTGTGAAGAAAGTCCCTAGTCTCAGAGGAGGAAATGAGTGTGATGACTAACATACTTTGGGCTCCTGGAGCAAGAAGTACTCAGCTAGATAATTGTAACGATATCGCCAAGCCACCCAAGCCCTGCCGCCACATGGGTGCTTTCTGCCAGGCTGCCCAAGTTCCGCCTGCTGCCATATTAAGGTCCCAAGTAACACATAGAGACTTATATTAGGTACAAATGCTGCTTGGCCAATGACTGCTAGCTCAGTCTTAATTATCATAAATCTATATATTTTATAAGACTTATCTTTTAGAGGACACCTTCCACTGGCACCCTCTCTTGCTGGCGGATCACATGGTGACTCTAGAGCAGAGACCAGGAGGGAGAGAGAAGGGACAACTTCCTTCTTGCCCTTGCTTATATATGAGTCTCCCTGCGATGTCACTTCCTCCCTGCATCACTACTTCTTTACTACATTTCCCAGAATGCTCCTTGACTCCTAGTCCCGCCTAACTTGCTGTTTCATTGGCCAAACAGTACTTTATTTATCATCCAGTAAGACAAACACATACACGGAAGCACTTCCCCTATCAGATAATCATGATTAGCAACTAGATAATTATGATGAGAATGCTGTGGGAACTTGAGAATTTGTGCCCTGTTTGGAGGAGTTTTGAGTCCAGCTAGAATGCTTCCATCTTAGATCTAAAATGACACCATTCAATGTAATCATGTGAGTTTTTAGATTCCACCTTAAGCAATTGTAGGACTGGAGGAGAGATGGCTCAGTGGTTAAGAGTGCTGTTGATCTTCTAGAGAACTGGAGTCCTGGTCCCAGCAACCATAGCAGGTGGCTCACAGCTGCCTGTAATCCCAGCTCCTGGGGATGCAATGCCCTCCTCTGGCCTTCATCGCCTTTGCATACACAAACACACACAGACACATACATACATTAAATGAATGAATGACTAAATAAATGAATCTTTAAGAAAATAAATTATATATTTCTGAAATGTTTGCATTGTAGTGCAGGAATTAAAGATTAGACTTGAAAGTATTGGCTGGGAGCAGCAGTTAGCATTCATAGGACTTGTTTTGCTTCGTTCTAGTCTCCTGAAGGTGACTTTCTTCATGCTGGCCAGATGTTGACCCTTTTCTGTGATATGTGTTTTGTTGCAGATGGAGTAGATGGAAAACAAGCACGTAGAACCAATTCCAGCACCCCTTTAGGGGAGCTGTTTGACCATGGCTTGGATAGCTGGTCATGTGTTTACTTTGTTGTGACTGTGTACTCCATCTTTGGACGAGGACCGACTGGTGTCAGTGTTTTTGTTCTTTATCTCCTGCTATGGGTAGTTTTGTTTTCTTTCATCCTGTCTCACTGGGAAAAGTATAACACAGGCATTCTTTTCCTACCCTGGGGCTATGACATTAGCCAAGTGGTAAGTATACATTATGCCCTAAGTGGTCTGCATGTTTTAAAGTTTTTACTACCCTTCTTCAATGCTGTCAGACATTAGCAAGTTAGAACTGATGTGTGGGGCTGGAGAGGTGGCTCTCTTTTTCTGAGGTCCCAGGTTCAGTTCCCAGCACCCACGTTACAATGTACAACAGTGTGTAACCCCAGTTCTAGGGAACCTGATGTCCTCTTTTGGTCTCCGGGCACCAGGCAGTTGTGATGCACAGACATACATGCAGGCAAATCACACATAAAATTTAAAAAAAAAAAAATTTTTAATAAAAATTTTTTAAAATGGAATTGATGCTTTAACATTTTCTTTTCCTGAGAGGATGACTTCGGGTGGAAATATAATAAAGTGCTAGAGTACTTACCTAACATGTGAAAGTCCATCGATTCTGTGTTTACCACATCATCTGGAGGGGGGGAGACGACACAATTCCAGACAGGGTTTCTGTGTGTAGCTCTGACTGTCCTGGAACTCACTCTGTACACCAGGCTGGCCTCCATCTCAGAGATCCATCTACCTTTGCCTCCTGAGTGCTGGGATTAAAGGTGTGTGCCACCACCCCCAGCACATCATTGATTTCAAGCATATACAAAAGTAAAACATGACAGTGAATCTTGAACATACTTAGTACTTAGCTTTAGCAGTTATCAACACATGGCCTCTAGTTTATGGTATGCTGTCTGTGTTTTCCTCATTCTTTTACAGGAAATGTGGTTAAGTATTTTTACAAATATTTCTAAATGTTAAAAGTTTTTAAATAGTTATAATTAGTTTTAAAAACATAATTAGAATGCCATCTAATTTAACTTAGTTTGACATGTTAATTTTTATTTTATGTTATTTTTGGAGAAGGGTATGCACATATGACTGAATTGTTGGCCTTTTGTCTCCTTGCCAACTTCAGTGAGTAGAGAGCTTTGTCTTGTGGATAGACCTGTGTTCTCTGCCCTAGAGTCTCAGCTTCTTGTGTTGCCGTTTCTCCATTTGCCATAAGAAGCCAACAGAGACACGGGAAGCTGGGGTGTGCTTGCTGATGGAGGTTGATTAGGTGGGCACGTGGAGTCATCATCCTGTGACTTAACTGCCTTTGAAGGGTTCCAGATGGTGACCACTTGCCTGCATTGCCTACATGGCAACTATTCGATGGTAGTATTGGAGGGGGCAGTCTGTTATAGGTGAGGAGATTGGTCATAGCAAATTTAAGCCCTTTTTAAGTAATCACTCTGATTAGACTTAATGATGCATAAAGCACTGTTGGCTTTCTGGATTGTTCAGCTGTTGATGCCTCTTTGTCTGTTTTCCTTCTAGACTATTTCTTTTGTCTACATAGTGACTGCATTGGTGGGAGTTGAGGCCTGGTATGAACCTTTCCTGTTTAATTTCTTATATAGAGACCTATTCACTGCAATGATTATTGGTAAGGAGCTCCATGTCGAAGCCTGTTTTTAACCCTCTCTTTGTTATCAAAAGCCAGTGTTTGACCGTAGCAAGTGATAACACTCTTTCCTTGTTCTCCAGCAAGCAGAATAACCCTACGGCTCTATAGGAGTTCTACCAGAATGTTAAAGGAAACAAGGGTTTTTTTGTTTTGTTTTGTTGTTGTTGAGCACCAAGCTTTTCCTATTCGGACAGAAATACCAAAGTAGATCAGCACATAAGCATTGTAGAGTTGTTATCTGGTTTAGTCTAGACTGTATTGGAGGACCTACATTTAGTGGATACTTCATACCTGTTTCAAGTTGAAAATTGTTAATTTGAAAGAGTAGGTGAAATATGGAGACTTTCATACTCTGCTGAAAAAAACTAAACCCCTCTTCCTCTTAGATAACCTCCCTCCTGTGTCACTGAGCACTGGAGGTTTTGGTTGTGGTTGTCATGTTTGTGCCCTGCCTGTTGCTCCCTAAGAAGGTAACCTTCACAGTTAACAGAAGCCATCAAACCTACTCCAACCTATACCATCCCCCCTTTTACAGGGGCTCTTGTCCACCCATTACTTGATCCCCAGCCCCACCCCACCCACACCCCTGCTTTCTGTTTCTTTGAGTCAGGATTTTATGTAACCAAGGCTGCCCTTGAATTCTGATCCTATTGCCTCCACCTCCCAAGTGCTGGGATTAGAGATGTGTGTCACCATGCTTGGCTTAAGTGTCCTTGAAAGCACATGGTTAATGTTTAAAGATACCTCACACAGTAGATGTTTCTATAGTCTTTAAATTTTACATTTAAATATAAAATGTGGTAAACCTCCATCGGACAAGCTGCTTGATTGAGATTCACTAAATGGTATGAGAGGAGAAATAACGTTTTCAAAGCTTAAGAATAAATACATAAATAAAGCAGAACCACTTTATCCAGATAAATATCTGCTGGTAAAATAGAGTGGTTCCTAAATGTGGCCCAGACCACAGGAAGGTCTGTGCCTATATAGCAGTCAGCAGTTTCTGAGCCTTATCTAGTTTCTAGCCTTTACCAGGGTTCACCAGCAGAAATAGGGTTGTGTTTAGATAGAGCAGCAGATCCATGGCCTGCATGTATGCATGTTATTCTTAGATCTTTAGAATTTTTTCTAGGACCCCTAAAGTAGAGCCTAGAGTCTTTGCCTTTTACTGCTTTCAAAACCATTAGTGCTGTCCCTCACACAGTCAGCTGCCTACAGATACCTCCTTTGGTTAACTCAAAAGTTAATATGAGCACATAGTAGGGAGCACACAATGTCTAATTGCCTGTTATAGTGATGAGAGGGTTCAGGTATTGTATGTCAGTTCCAACTTAGTGCATGTTCTTCACCAAAAAGTACTCACAAACTTTGAGGGTCTTTGTTTAGTCATTCATTCAGCAGGCAGGTAGGGGACTAAAGTCAGTTTATGATAAAAATACCACATGAATTAAAATGTTGATTCCAAATGGAATCTGATAGTAAAGGTACCACTTTGTGTTGTGACTCCACTTTTGGATGTATACATTTAAATTTTATGGCCAGGTGGTGGTGGCACACACTTTTAATCCCAGCACTAGGGAGGCAGAGGCAGGTGAATATCTGTGAGTTCGAGGCCAGCCTGATCTACAAAGCTACACAGAGAAACCCTGTCCCGAACCCCCCCCCCAAAAAAAAAAATTCAACTTATAAGCATTGGCTTTTCTTTGGAAATTTATTCTTTATAGTTGTAGAAAACATTCATGATTATGAAGTGAAATCTATAAAGCAATATACTCAAAGAAGTATAGCTTTTATTCTACCTATTCTCCTTTTCCCTCAACCATTCTTAGATTTTGTCATTTATTCAGAGTGTGTGTGTGTGTGTGTGTGTGTGTGTGTGTGTGTGTGTGTGTGTGTGTAGACGTCAGAGGACAACTCTCCTTTACCATGGTAGAACTCTAGTTGTCAGGCTTGGCAACAAGTGTCTTTACCCACTAAGCCATCTCTCCAGCCTTATGCTAGCTTTATTTATGGTTTAAAAATGTATGCATCATTTTATCACCTTGTTTGTAGCCCCCCACACCCCACTTGCTAGTATATCCATGATAGTGTATAGGGTTTTCCTCATCTCTTCTTCCAGCTTCCTGATATTTTATTGTGTAGATTGTACGAGAGTGCTTCAGCCAGCATTTGGATTGTCTCCAGGCTTTTGCTGTTGCACACATTGTTGTAGTAATTTTACATGCCTATGAGCTGTTGTGAAAATGCTTGTTTATTGATAGTTTCACCGTTGTAGTATATTGCCATGTTTGTTAACCTATGGGTAAGAAATGATACACTGGTATAGTTGCAATTAGCATTTCTCATGAATGAACTTGGCTAACCTTAATAACCATTTATATTTGTCTTTCTGTGAATTTTTAGACTCTAGCCCATTTTCCCCAATAGAATTGTTGAATACTTCCTTTAGGCCCTTGTTTTGTGTTCATAAATCTTTTTGATTGATTAATTACAGTTCTCTTACTTGTTGTCTTCTCTAAGATACTTTTTAACTTGGTGCAATTTTTTGTTGTGTTTGTTTTTAGGTTTATGTGTATGGATGTTTTGTTTACATGTATGTCTGTGTATCCTGTGAATGCCTTGTGCCTATGGATACCAGAAGAGGGCATTGGCTCCTCTGAATCTGGGGTTACAGATGGTTGTGAGCTACCACATGGGTGCTGGGACTTGAACCTGGATTCCCTGCAAGAGTAGGGAACAATTCTCTTAACTGTTGTTGCAGTATCTTTCACCCCCCATGTTAATGACTTAGTTTTGTATTTTTTTAATTCTATGTGTATGAGTGTTTTGCTTGCACATATGTCTGTGCACCACAGAAGCCAGAAGATTGTATTGGAACGCCTGCAACAAGAGTTACAGATGGTTTATTAGCTATCATGTAGGTGCTGTGGATTGAACCTGAGTCCTCTGGAAGAGTAGACAGTGCTCCAAACAGCTGAGCCATCTCTCTCCAGTCCCCCATCTTGTTTTGTTTTTGTTTTTAATTTTTTTTCAAGTTCCTATGATAAGTTAGAAATGTGAAGAATAAGAAAGATACTTTCTGTGGTCATAATACTCTGAGAGTATTTTTTTTTTTTAATGAGTTGTCTGATTTTTTTTTTTTTCTGTAGCGATTCCATTTTCTGTATTTTAAAGTCTGGCCTTAAGTTATGGCAATATGAAAAGCAGGTGTGCATATATGGGTTCCATCTCCATTGTATACTTGAAATTTTGAGTTTAAGAGATAAGTCTTTAACAGTTAAGTATTCTTTACAGACCATAGAATAAATTTCACATAGAGAAGAAATAAAGGTAATAAAGAAATAAAGGTTTCCTTTGGTAACTTACATAGGACACAGACTGTCTATATGCTTCCTGCACTTAGATTTCAAGAGTTTAGTTCTTCGGGCCAGATGAGTATTAAGAACTGAAAGCTCTAGAACTTAGTAAACCATGGAGTGTAACAGGGTAATCTGTGCCATAGGGCCCCAAAATTGGTGGGCTTTCTCAGAATGGCCAGGCATTGTTTTCAGGTTTAAGGGCAAATAAACATTGCATGGATAGGGTGGGGAGGAGAGAAACTGAAGATTCAAGGAAGATTACAAATAAACAGGGAGCAACAGTGTTGTCTGCCCCATCCCCACCCCACTTTGTAGTAGTTACATCAATTTTCCAGTTTGCTCGGCTTGAGCGCTGTTTTGGTGTCTTTGCATGTAATGATCCATGCCATTTTCAAGCTTTGTGCAGTTGGTACTATTTTTCTGCTTCAAAATTAAAGAAAATGAGACACTGACTGAAAGATTGGGTTGCTCAGAGTGTTGTGGTTCTGTAAAGTCCAGGCTGGTGACCTCAGACTGTGCTTGCTTTACAAACTGATCTGCCAGTGTCTTCACCTAACAGCTGCTGTGTAGTAGAGTAGTTTTGCTGTAGTAATAAACTTGAACCTGAAGACTACTGACCCTAAAATATTAGAAGTTTTTCATGGATGCAGTTACTGTAAAAATAATCACTCTTGAAATTCATAATAATTTAAATATTCTTCTTTTTAGGTTGTGCATTATGTGTGACTCTTCCGATGAGTTTATTAAACTTTTTTAGGTAAGTTTTTTTTTTTTGTTTTTTTTTTTTTTAAGTTGTGGGGAAAGAAAGAAAAGGCAACCTTTAACAGTTGTATTATTAGAATTTAAGGAACTGTGTATATATTTTTGTTTTGGTTTTTTTGTTTTTTTGAGACAGAGTTTCTCTGTGTAGCCCTGGCTGTTCTGGAACTCACAGAGATCTGCCTGCCTCTGCCTCCTGAGTGCACCAGGCCTGGCTAACAGTTTGCTTTTATAATCTAGACATTTTGAAAGGGTTTAAAAATCTGTTTCAGGCTGGGCGGTGGTGGCGCACGCCTTTAATCCCAGCACTCGGGAGGCAGAGGCAGAGGCAGGTGGATCTCTGTGAGTTCGTGACCAGGCTGGTCTACAAGAGCTAGTTCCAGGACAGCCTCCAAAGCCACAGAGAAACCCTGTCTCGAAAAACCAAAAAAAATCTGTTTCAGATCTAGAGTAGGAACTTGATGGTTGAGGTTATTTCTGTTGGCTAGTGTAGACAACATAATTATACTATAAAATGGTCAGTTACTTTGTTAAGATTTTGAGCTCAGTAGGCTTCAAGTTTGTCACTTTTGTGAATCATAAGGAGTGGGTATTTTCTTGCTAAATATTGATTTGTTCACATTCTTTTTATGAAGGATTATAGTGAGGTTAATGAGATCATAACAATTCTGAATGTGTGTGGGTTAGGACCTAACTGTGTTGCCATTCTCACATAAGAGGTTGTGTACTTTCCTGCCTTTGGGGAATAGTTTCTGAGGTAGCTTGGAGGTGGACTTTGAATTCCGATTTGTGCACACCCCATCTTGGCTGGCTGCGCTGGCTTGCCTTGTGTTGTCCAGATATATTTTGTCCTTTCACATCTCAGTAATTTTGGTCTGCCTGTCTCCTCTGTTATGTTACCTTGTTCTTCCTATTTTAGTACTCAGATCTGTCTTGTAGGCTCTTCCTCATGTCACGACAAACTCTATATAGCTTCTGTTGTGATGGTGGTCATTTATAGAAGTAATCAATTTTTAGTCAGATGTGGGGCACACTCATAATCCTAGCACTTCAGAAGCTGAGGTCAGTCAGCCTGGGCTCCATAATGAGTACCAAGTCTGCCAACATAGTAAGACCCTGTCTTTAAAAAAAAAAAAAGAAAGTAAAAGTAATAGCATTTAAGATTTGCAAGCCATACTGATCATTTGAGTCATTTCTTCCTCTTATAGATGAGGCTTTAATTGGGCCACACATTGTCCAAGGTAGTGTGATCAATAAGAAAACCAAGACTAGAATTTGGAGCCCTGTTCAGATGAGCCGACATGCTTTGTTACTCCCAGTGTATTTAGAGACACCAAAATGTGCTGGCTGTCTCTCTTTAGGGTCTTTTGTGTGAAATATATCTGTTCCAAATCTGTATCACTTTAAACTTTTTATTTTTATGTGTGTGAGTATTTTGTTTGCATGTATATGTTTGTACCACATGCATTCCTGTTGCCCAGGGAGACCAGAAGAGAGTATTGGATCCTCTGGAACTGGAGTTATAGATGAGCCTCCATGAAGTCCTGGGAACCAAATCTGGGTTCCCTGGAAAAACAGTTGGGATTTTTAACCTCTAAGCCAGTAGTTTTCAACCTTCCTGATTTTGCAACACTTTAATGCTGTTCCTCATGTGGTGACCCCCAATCATAAAATTATTTTGTTGCTACTTCATAATTGTAATTTTGCTACTTTTAGGAATCATAATGTAAATATCTGATATGTGACCTCTGTGAAAGGTTGCTTAACACCCCCCACCCCCAAAGGGGTCACAACCAACAGGTTGAGAATCGCTATTCTAAGCCATCTCTCCAGCCCTGTCTTTCCATTCCTGACATAGCTGTTGACCATTTGGTTTAAAAGTAAGAAAAGGGGCTAGAGAGATGCCTCAGCAGTTAAGAGCACTGACTTCTGCCAGAGGTCCCGAGTTCAATTCCCAGCAACCACATGGTAGCTCACAACCATCCATTATGAGATCTGATGCCCTTTTCTGGTGTGCAGATAAACATGGAAGCAGAATGTTGTATACATAATAAATAAATAAAATCTTAAAAAAAAAAAAGTAAGAAAAGGGCCAAGCATGATAGTACATTACTTTAATGCCAGCACTCTGGAAACAGAGGAGCTGGACCTGCATAGTGAGTTCCAGACCAGCCAGTCTCACTTACACAGTGAGACTCTGTCTAAAAATAGAGAAATGAGGGAAGGGGGAGGAGTGATCTCTGTCAGAACCTCAGTTGTAATCCTGGCCTTGGTAGCAATTATTAATTTAGCCTGCCTTTAAAGTAGGGTTAATTATGTTGGTTCTCTGTGCCTTAGGATTGTAAATACACATTAAGAATACATGTGAAAGGAGTTTGGAGATGGTGAGTGTTAGGCACGTGTCCTGTATGTAATGATGTTCTGTATTAATTTTTCAGAAGTTATAAAAGCAACACCCTGAAACACAATTCTATTTATGAAGCTATGGTCCCCTTCTTCTCTCCGTGTTTGCTCTTCACTCTGTCTACAGTGTGGATCCTCCGGTCTCCTTCAGATATTTTAGAAATACACCCTAGAATATTCTACTTCATGGTTGGAACAGCTTTTGCCAATATCACAGTAAGACTTTTTATTTTTTAAAAAATTTATATAAGCCAGATGTGGTAGCTCATGCCTATAATTCAAGGCCAGCCTAGGCCATATGAAACCATGTCTCACAAAACCAAAATAACAAAACAAAAAAGAATCAAAGCAGCTTTGAAAGGTGTTCATTGCTGGTTGGAGGTCGGAGGTCCGAGCTTCCTCTTCATTACCATGAAGAAGTTTAGTTGTGTTGAGGTTTAGGAGTCTGCTTTGGAGTTGTTCACGTAGCATAAAGTTTTAAAATTGGGAACTACTTCTTTTTTTTTTTTAAAGATTTTATTTATTTATTATGTATACAGTCTTCTGCATGCATGCCAGCAGAGGACACCAGATCTCATAGGGGATGGTTGTGAGCCACCATGTGGTTGCTGGGAATTGAACTCAGGACCTCTGGCAGAAGTCAGTGCTCTTAACTGCTGAGCCATCTCTCCAGCCCTGGGAGCTACTTCTTTTACCTCAGCTGGTACTACACTGAGAGAATACCTTCTGTAGCATCTGTGCTAGTTCTTTTCTCATCTTAGGGCAGAGTACCTGACAGGCAATTAAAGGAGCAGTTTGTCCTGGCTTGTGCTTTAAGAAGGGAAGCGGCCTCCTGGCACGGGAGTTGTGGTGTCAGGTCACAGTGTTGGTCACAGTGTTGGTCACAGTGTTGGTCACTGCGGAGAGGAGGCCTCGAGGGCACCACTCGGTTCACTTTGTGTTCAGTCCAGGCCTCGGCGCATGGGTAACGCTGCCCACATACAGAGTGGTTCTTCCTTCCTCATTTAGCCCTCTGGAAACACCTCTACAGACACATGGAGATTAATCAGCACCAGGACTACACCCTTTCTCCATTGTCTTAGCCTCTTCTGATCCAGTCCCGAGATGCAAGGGTGGGATCAGTGGCTGGTTGGGGACCTGAGCAACTGAGAACTGTTGACAACAGCTGCATTCTTGGAAGTCTTTAAATGTGGCTGGTTTTGAAAGCGTTTTGCTAATTAATGCCCCTCTTTTCCTCCCTCTTGTTGCTTCTCCCAAGTGTCAGCTAATTGTTTGCCAAATGAGCAGCACACGGTGCCCGACTTTGAACTGGTTGCTGCTTCCTCTCTTCCTGGTTGTGGCAGCAGTGACCATAGGTGCAGCAGCCTCACACCTCGAGAGTCTTCTCCTCTACGCTCTTACAGCAGCCTTCACTCTGGCTCACATCCATTACGGAGTACAAGTGGTGAGTAATCTAGAGTGGATCTGAGTGGCTTCCATCTGCTGCTTAGGAATCTAGAAGACACAGAGGGAAACTGCATAAAAGGGCTGCCTAGTGTAACAACTAGACATGTGAAGGAAATGCCTCAATTTTAGGTGATATGTAAGGGTGTCCTTTGAGATACTTTTTTCCTAATGATGATGTTATGGCACCTACAAATGAATTTTTAAGTGATTATGTGTGATTAGTTCTTACTTTAAATTGTTATATAAGTGATTTTCTCATTGAGAAAACACTGTCAGTGCTTTTCATTATGTGAGGCCAGATAATCCCATAGTTTCTGTTTCTTGCCTCTTTAGTCCTAGGGCATGTTTATTGCCTTCTAATTTAATTTGGAGAAAATAAGTAACATTGCTTTCTAGTATGCCCACGTCTATTCCTAACCCTGTGAGAAACGGAGAAGGGCAGTCAGTATCTTAGGGTTTCGATTGCTGTGATAAACACTATAACCAAAGCAACTCAGGAAAGAAAGGTTTTTTTTTCAGCCTATAGTTTCACGTCACAGTCCATCATCAAAGGGGAAGTCAGGGCAGGAACCTGGAGCAGGAGCTGAAGCAGAGGACCTGGAGGAACACTGTTTACCGGTTTGCTTCCCCGGTGGCTTGCTCAATCTGCTTTCGTATAGCACCACTGACTGCCTATCTGTCCATGGGTGGCACCACCCACTATAGGCTGGACCCTCCCACATCAGTCATTAATCAAGAAAATGAACCACAGGCTTGTCCACAGGCCAGTCTGATGGAGGCAGTTTCTCAATTGAGGTTCGTCTTCCCAGATAACTCTAACTTGTGTCAAGTTGAAAAAACAAATGAAACAACTGGTCAGCACAGGCAGATGACTAGAGGACTAGAGGGACTAGAGGAAGTCATTTGCGTTATTTCAGTCTTTATCTCACGAGCCTTTACCTTTATCGTCAAATAATAAAAAATGCAGCGGAAGATGGTTAGTATTTTTTCAGGTGTGGAAGAGCATTGCTGTCATTTTATCACTAAAGAAGCAAGAAGATAGCTTGAGGCTAACTCAGGCTGCATGGCAAAATCCTGTCTCAAGAAACCACAGACATTAAACAAGTACTTGGTACACCCAATGCTCTCTTCCAAAATAAGAAAGTCATTTCAGGATGAATGGACAAATACAATAATGCCAGAACCATGTGGCCTTGTCTCCCTCCCACTCTAACTAGTTTTCTAGTTATTTTACATATTTTAGTGGTTGCTGCATAGTATCCCACCATGGAGGTCACCAGTAGTTAATCAGTCTACTAGTCCTAGTCAGTTTATTTTATTACCTAGTGATTTAATTTTTACAATGTTGATATGAACAAATTGAAACACTCTTTGATTTGTGTCATATTGAGAGGATAACTTCAGGGGTGGGCTGGTGTACTGGGTGTCCACACTGCAGCCCTAGTGTCTGCTCCCTGCCTTTGTTTTGGAAGGAGACCTGCTAAGAGTCGGTTTGATGAACAAACCATTTTTTCTTCTGAATTATTGTTGTAAGAAACATGATGAACAGTGATGTCAGAGAATTGCTTATGTCTTTATTTGTAAAGATTTATCATATGCTTTCTGCCAGTATTCTTGGGCATTATCTTGCTTTTCATTGATCATTAGAGTGACATAGAATGCTGCTGCCAGTGTCTTGTAGTTTCAAAACAAGTTCTCACTATGTAGTGTGGTCTTGGTTGGTCTGGAACTGACTGGAGACCAGACTGGCCTGGAACTCACATAGCTGTCTCACCTGCCTCTACCTCCTAAGAGCTGGGAGTAAAGGTGAGTCACCATACCTGGCTCAAAACTGTACCACATCTCTTTAGAAACTGTGTATCCACCAGAACTCATCCCTTTTGTGTGTGTGGACTTGTGATGTGCAGGTGGTGCCTGTGGAAGCCAGAGAAGGGAATCGGATCCTCTGGATCTGTGGGGCTGAGTTACCAGTAGTTAGGAGCTGCCTGCCCTGTGTGGGTCTGGGAACTGAACTGCGGTCTTCTATACACTTTTAACCACTGTGCCGTCTCTCCAGCCCCAGTAGCTGAGGATTGAACCAAATGTTTTACACATGCTGTGTAAGCACTTTACTTGCTGAGCCCCACTGCCTCCCTCACAGTTTTTTTACAGTATAAAAGTAGTACAAATTCATTGTTAAAATCTGCACAATGGGGCCTATGAGACGACTTAGCAAGTGAAGGCTATTGCCCTGCAAGCCTGACAACATGAATTTGATCCCTGAAACCCACACAAAGTTCCGTGGAAGGAGAGAACTGACTCCACAGAGTTGTCGTCTGATCTCCAATGCATGCTGTGGCACTTGTGTGCCCCTCTCCCCAAATAAATCTAAAAAGAAAATGGGGAGCAGGAAAGATGGCTCAGGGATTAAGAGTACCAAATGACCTGGGTTCTATTCCCAGCACCCACATGAAGGCTCACAGCCATCTATAACTCCAGTTCCAGGGGACCAGATGCACTGAATACACACGATGAACAGACATACATGCAAGCAATACCCATAGACACAAATAATTAAACTTAAAAATAAATTATAATTTTAAGAAATCTGGAAAATAAACATGCTAACAGAAAGAACGTCCTTCTTGTCCATTTTTGTGCTCTTTGTTTTGTTTTTTGAGACAGGGTTGCTCTGTGGCTTTGGAGGCTGTCCTGGAACAAGCTCTGTAGACCAGGCTGGCCTTGAACTCACAGAGATCCACTTGCCTCTGCCTCCTGAGTGCTGGGATTAAAGGTGTGTGTCACCGCAGCCCTTTTCTTTATTACTTCTAACCAGAAACCACACAAAATCTTGACTTACATATATATGTAAACTATCAAAGAATTGTCTCCTGCCGGGGATATCCTAGCCAACAAGGCCATCAGATTCTCAGATCTGATTTTTTTTCCATTTTATCCAGGTTAGGAAACATTACCTAGCAGTTTTTTGTAAGAAGCTAAGTACCAATTTATCGTGGTAATTGTTTTCTTTATGAGCTGTGGTAGGCCAGATAATTCTGTAGTTTCTCAGAAAGCTCGAGGAAAGACTAGAATTTGGTTTAGCAGAACTTTTCTTGTTTCTGCCAGTTTTACTCTCAGTAAATTACTGTCTGCAGATTCTGAGTTCTGAGTATATTCGAAGAAGAATCAGGTGCGTGTTTGTCACTGTCTTGTGTTCTGGTTTTCTGTAGGTGAAGCAGCTGAGCAGCCATTTTCAGATTTACCCATTTTCATTGAGGAAACCAAACTCAGATTGACTAGGAATGGAAGAGAAGAATGTCGGCCTGTAATCTTCAGGAAGTACTGTAAATAGATGCTTGTAAATATCTCATCCATCACCATTGAACTAAACTGGTCTGCTTGACAGATATGGGATCGATCACAGTGTGTGGCTCGTGGATGGCAGGAATGAACGTGATCTCAGCTTGTGGAACTTTGGACTTTCTAACTACCAACTTTATTTTTTTATGAGACCATGAGACATTTGGTTAAACACAGTGTCCATTAAACCAGCTAAATGTTCCTAGCTTCATGAGTCCATACTGTTTTGACTCATAAAGATGCTTTACTTCTGTGTTTAAAGTCCCCAGAACGATTCAGGAACTCCACAGAATGTCTTAATATTTGGTACTTTTTATAAAAGGTCTTCAGCTGTGGAAATGGTTGACAGCCCAAATCTAATGTAGAGAATCGTCAAAAAAAATTCTCTCTGGCCAGAGATACCAGTGACTGCAGAACAGTGTGCAGTTTGCCAAATCCTGGTTGCTCTCCTGTGAACTTCGAGAGGTTGTCTGGTATCCTGGCTCTTACTGTGGCTAAATTCCGATAAATGGTTTAATTTTCTGTTAGAGAGAAGTGTTCTGTTGTTACTTAGTATAATTACACCTCATTGTTGTGGCACGGTTCATGGTTTAATCGATTGAGGAATCCTCCTGTCAGGAGCGGGTGCCTGTGAGCTGTGATTCTGGAGGCTGTGTTTGGCAGTCCCATTCTTGGGATACTTACTTGTGAGGATGTGGATGAAGTACCTTGTAAGAGGAAGTTTAAGCTGGAGTTAGGAACCTCAGAACTTCATGATGATCACGGTGAGGTTAGCACCCTGGCACTGCCGGTCCACCTGTCTTTGCTTGTTTGCTTTCTCTCTCTTCCTCTGGGTGAGGTGCCATGGCTTTTAATCTCATGAGGGATGAGGTAGACAGACAGACAGTCTTTCTCCCCTGACTCTCCCACCTCCCCATTTAAATAAAACTTTTGATATGTATGCCTTACTGAGTATTTACTCCCTTAATATGACTCAGTAAGTTTTGAGGTTTACTGACAACACAAAACTCCCTTTCGCTGTATTGTGGTTATCTCATAAATCTCACTTTTTTATGAATGTGGATGTTTTCTTTCTTTGGACTTTGCCTTTAGTTTGGTGGTGGTGAAATTTACTTGCTGATTTTATTTTCCACTGAATGAGGTTTGTGCTTAAATGAAGAGTGTGTCTTAAACCCCTTTTTTTATTTTTGGGCAGGTTGCACTTGGATAAGATAGGCACCACTATGTTGATATGTAATTAAATTCATAACTGTTAATTTACCTATGAATATGACCATCCTTAAATATTGTAGCTCATTCTTTTGTTGGATTTCTGTCTGCTGCTTTGTAAAAAGTGACTGAGTTATACTCCACCTGAATGTTTTTAAATTCTAATCATTGTCATCCAGGCTGTTGAAAATGAGTCCAGGAGCTAACCCACAGTCCTGTGCTCAGTTTTAATTGTTTGTAAGGCTATGTGTGTTTGGGGACTTTTCTCTGAGACTAAAACTGAAAGCAAAAATCAATGAGAAATTGATGTAGAAAGTGGGTAGTAATTCTTGTGTTCATTAATAAATCTCCATCATGGAGGAGAGAAAACAAGCCATTTACATGAAGACAACTGTCCTGTGTACTCGAGCTCTGTAGGACTGAATTGGGTAACCAAAGTCAGGAAAGAGCTTAGTTATAAGGTTTTTGGCTAATCATTTTACTGTTTTCTTGACCTTGTACATGAAAGCATTCATTTGTATAAAAGAAAATAACATAAATATTTATAAGATAATGAATTTGGACCACAAGCTTGCTTCACCTTGTACAGTATACTGAAGCATCATGTCCTGTAATTTGGGGTCTTTTTTTTTTCCAAATGTTTTATTCTCTTTTCTGTTGCATCAAGTGAATTTGAAAAATGTTTTGTGCCTTTTGTTTTGTGTTTGACATGTCTATGTGATGGTAAAGAACTTCATTCTAAATAGTTTTGTTGACACTGTTGAGTGGAAGAGGAAGGAGGCTTCTAACGGAGCTGCAAACCCGGGAAGCCAGTGTTTCAGAATCCTGTGGACTCAGTGAGTCCATCCTAGCTGGCTCATGTCCTGTCTCTTGATGGTGCATCTTAAAAGACCCATTCGTTGTAGCAGTACAGAACCAAGTGGTACTGGTTCTCAGGAGCTCTGTGCATCTCTGTCACCCTCCCCCCTTCCTCTACACCTCCCCAGTGTAAACGGTACGGAAAGCTTATGTACTCTATTTGGGTGAGTTTACCCCATAGCTTTTGGGGAGCGGCATCGATGTCAGGAGCATGCATTCATGTTGTCTGTACTTGTGGAATAGAGTGCCTTAGGGATTTGCATTGTTACTCTGCTGGACTCCCCGTGTTACCTTTAGAAGGTTATGGTGTGAAAAAACCCTGTCAGGCTTGTCAGAAGATGATCTCCCTGTGTCTGAGAGGATGTGGCACAGAAAAACATAACAATACTCAGATAGATGCTGCCGCCTCTGCTGTCTCGATGATATTGATGGTCTTATTTCAGCACACTGTTTGAAATTGCCACAATCACTGTCTAGAAAAATAGTAATAGTTCACAGGTTTTAGAGCACTAGAGAGACTTCGAAGTAAAAATATAACCATTCTTCCTTGGCATTTCAATGTTATGGTTGACATACTTTTAGTTCCAATTTTGAAAAGAAAACGTTGAACATAGTTTAGGATATTATAGTACCATTGCCAATACTGCCATTTGTTCTCTCCTGAGGCACTGGGGAGGGAGGTGTATGTCTGGGGCTAGCACAGGCTAAGTACTTGCCAAGAGTTTCCCTTGTGACTTGTATCGAATGTTAAGGGAATATGCTGTAGTCAGAAGGTGTATGGACGGCACCTTGCTTCCCGAAGTAGACTTCAACTCCATGACCTATGAAGAATAAAAAGATTTTTTTTTTACTTTATTTTTTTTTGTTTGTTTGTTTGTTTGGTTTTTCTCTAGACAAGGTTTCTCTGTGTAACAGCCCTGGCTGTCATGGAACTCCCTTTGTAGACCAGGCTGTCCTCGAACTCACAGAGATCCACCTGCCTCTGCCTCCTGAGTACTGGGATTAAAGTATGTGTCACCACCACCCAGTGTACTCTCTTCTTTTGTATTATAGCTTGAAACCTACTTGTAGCCACCTCATAGGACAGAAACAGCTCACTGAGCCCTGGCTGCTGAAGGACTGGGAACAACCCCAGAGAGAAAATAAAACCTTGTGGACCTTAACTTTTGAGTTTGGGTCTCCCAATAAGCCAAAAACAGATAGAGAAATTGTATTGGTTGTGATGATTCCTGTGTTCAGGGTGGCCTTATGTTGACTCAGTCCTGTGCTTGACTATTGGAAATCCGTGGCGTCAGACCAGAATTTTCTTTGTCCTGTGAAATGTCCTTTTAAGGCAGCATGCCCTATCTTGAACATCCTGTGGGTGAGTATCTTATTATAGTTAGCTATCCCTACTCCAGCCTTTGGGAAGGAGTGTTACCTAGTATGCTGCATTGAAGCACTTGGATGTACATTTAAAGTGACATTCCTAACAGTAAAATGGTATTAAATTAATCACTGTGAAACTTGAATGTGTGAGGCTCTGGGAATTTTTCAAAGCTAGCATAAATTTCTGCTTTTCTTTGATTGATTATGTAACCCATGTGATTTGTATATTTGGGGTTTTTTGTTGTGTCTGTTTTTTAATCTGCAACGGTGGTATAAATGACTGACATCACAACAGGCAGTCGCTTTGGGGTACATGGTGAATCATGATGGTCTAACTTTTCCAGAGAAAGTGTTTATTTCTTTCTTGAATAGAGCCATGGGAATTGCGTTTGCTGGCTTGTTCATTTCCAGTGTTGTTACAGTACAAACTAAATGTCACTTACTCTCCAACCGGCATGCTAGAAGTGTGCTTTTCTCTTTAAGAGACAGCATACCAGCTGGCTGTCAGCTCTGGCTTTTAAGCAGGGATATGTTCTTTTTATAGACAGTTGACAAACTCACATTTAGGGTAGCAGTTTTGCCATCAGGGAGCTCTCCCAAGGGCAGCCTGAACAAGGTTTTGTTCATTCAGTGAGGAAGGCTGGGTTCCCAGGATTGAAAATGCCACTCAGACTGATTTTAGAGTATTTGACAAGGGCTTGTCTCTAGGAAACCACCTTTAGGGGGAGCAGAAAGGTTGTTCTAGGCTTTTAGGCTGTTTTGTTGTCTTCCCTTTCAGAGAGTCCTTCTTAGAAAGCTGGACCAAGTCAGTTGGGCTGTTTTTATGACAGTTGGATCATGGCCATTGAGAGTCTAAAAATAGAAAGAGAAGCCAGTGTCCACTTCAGCAGCTCTGAAATGGAAATTAAAGATTGCATTGACTATCCAGGGAGTGACTGAATACTTGGGGGGTGTTTGCTATCATGTTGGCTACAAAATCTTTTAAGCAGTTTCTTTGGGTACCAATCAAAACAAGCATTGAATTTGGGTTTTTCATAAAGTAATCCTTGATGAATTCTTGATTGTGATTTTCTTGGTAAGCATTTTTTTTAATATCTAGAGAGGAAAACTCGTGACCTGGAGCTTATTTATTTTGTACTTGAGGTAACTAAGTAGGTTATGGAAGTGGCCTGTGTCTGTACACCTATTCTGTGTGTATATACGATACGGTATCTACATGGAGTTTACTCTTGATTATCAGCCAGGTGGTAACTAATCCTCATTAGACTGTTGCTTTGTGTGGACTTGGTGTGTCCGTGGTGCACATCTAAAGCAGATTGCTCACCTGGAGCTACAAATCCCCACACCCCGGTCATCTCAGACCTTCAGAAAGCCCCCTAAGTATATCACTTTCCACATCTTTTCACCAGGGAACTTGTGGGCCAGAAAGACTGGTTTCAAGAGTGCTGGCTGCTATCTTCAGGGTTGAGGTTTCTGGGTCTGCTGGGCCCTTTTTGGCTAAGAGGCAGCTTTGGGAGCAGTGTGCCTATGGACTCCATCAGGGAGATACTTGCTTTGCCAAAGCAGAGCTCTGCAGCTTGTTTAACTTTACTGGAATGTTCTAAGTCTTGTGGTTTGATGTATAGTAGAGTACTCCAAGGCATTTGAATGTGATTTTTGCATTATTGGTGTTACTGTTCCCTGCTGCTAGTCCAGATAATCAAGACCTGTTTCTTGTCACCGGATTCTAGAAGCCTTGACCTTTTAACTGGATTTATGTTCATGTCTGCTGCTGTGAACTCCAAAAGTAAAGCAGTAGGTTTTAGTTTTCAATTGTTTAATTCTTTTATTGATATTTATTGTAATAAAAATAAATAATTTTTAAATCCTTTTAATTGTTTTCAAGTTGTCTTTTTTGTTGTTGTTGTTGTTCCTTCCTTGGTAGGTGCAAAAGGAAAGGCTCTGTAATGGGAAGCAGTCCCAGCTGCTTGATCCAGAGCCATTGGTCAAATGTAAAACACAATAGTAAATAAGTGAGTCTTGCTTAGCCTTCATTGGCCCAAGCTTGATATGTAGTCAAGGATGTACAAAAGATGACCTTGGATTTCTGTCTTGTTCCTCTTGCAGTTACTGGGATAGGAGGCTTGTGTGCATTGCATATTGCAGGCATGCGTGCCTTGGGCCTGTTGTACTGGGTTTCCAGCTGAACTACATTGAAAAGGGGGTTGTTGCTGTCCTTTTGGTTATTGCTTGTTTTGGATATAAACAGACCAGCTTGCTTTCAAAGACCATCCTGGGTCTGACTTGCTTCCCTACAAGACAGCAACAACAGCAAGCAGCTCTACTTGATTCGCCCAGGACAGTGTGGAAGTACAAACACAAACTTGCTTTTTCTAACCATGATCTTTATTAACTATTTAGAGATAGGGTCTCATGTAGCCCAGGCTGGCCTCAAATACTGTATAGCTAAAGATGACTTTGAACTTTTGATCTTCTTGCCTTACCTCCTGAGTGCTGAGGTTTCAGGCATATGCCACCATAACCAGTTTAATTCTGCACTGGGGATTGAACCCAGGATTTCATGTATGCTAGGCATACATGATTGTATTGTATACATCAATCCACCAATTGATCTGCATTCCTACCCTCTGAGTTATGTTTTAAAAACCTTTCGGCTAGCCAGGCATTGGTGGCACCTGCCTTTAGTCCCAGCACTCGGAAGGCAGAGGCAGGCGGATCTCTGGGTTCGAGGCCAGCCTGGTCTTCAAAGAGAGTTCCAGGACAGTCTCCAAAAACTACAGAGAAACCCTGTCTCAAAACAAAACAAAACAAAACAAAAAAAAAAAAAAAAAAAAACACCAAAAAACCTTCCGGCTATTGTCCAAGCTCATACAGCTCCTGGCTTCTCTGCTGCCTCTCTTCCTTTCTTCATACTTAAAATTTTAAAGATGTACATATTGATGGTGGAGGTATGCCACTGCCCACATGTGAAGGTCAAGGATTTGTTTCTCTTCACTATGGGAGTCCCATGGGTGGAACTCAAGTGGTCAGGCATGGTGGCAAGCAAGCACTTTACCCCTCCCCAGCCATCTTCCTGGCCCCTTCCCTCATTTTAAAGACAATACTAAAAATGTTTTAAAAATATATTAAAATTGGATAAAGATTTCATCCTGGGATCAAATTGGTAAGATTTACACAAATTGGATATACAAATAAACCAAGAAGTTTCTAAAGGGTGTGACGGGCTTTTCTGACATCCCCACACTCCAGGTAAAGTAATTTATAGTATGAACATACAGATGTAAAATTGTGACTTCACTTCTGAAGTAAGATCAATGTGGTGTGTGTATGTCCCAGAAAATTAAGCAGCTGGTTGTGGTGATGCATACATGGAATCCCAGAGCTAGGGGACTGAGACAGGAAAATTGCCTTAAGTTCAAAGTCACCGTCATACAATGTGAGTGAGTGCCAGGCTAGCCAGAGCTACACTAAGACCCTGCCTGTATCAACAGACAAAACTACAAAACTTTTTGTGTGCTGGGGTCTGCAGCTGTGGACTTGAGGATTCAGATTCTTCTGCTACTCTACTGCCCACTGCACAGCCAGCTGTCCCACCTAGGTTAAGGCATTGGGCCCACATGCAGGTTCTTGGGCCTCTGCACCACGATAAGGTGGCAAGATGTCCACTGATGTCCTTGAAGAATGTGCCGGGGTCCAGGGGATGTTCACTTTGTGAACTTTTCCCCAATTTTCTTGTGTATTCTATCTATATTTTAAGTAAAATTGGGTGATGCTTTCCATGAACTGTATCTTCCTCTTTGTGTGAAGTAGAGTTGAAGTTTAAAAATATATATATATATATATATATATATATATATATA